TTTATATTTATTTTGTAAAGCTCCTAATGATCTGTGGTCATGATTGTCAGGAAGCCGTTTGCTTTTGTATTTGATTTCCTTTATCCGTTCCATTTATTGATTACGCCAGCCAATTTTTCTTCCAGATTTGCGATTTTGGCCTCGCTAAGTGGCTACCTAGACAGTGGACTCACTACAACGTGTCGAAGTTCGAAGGCACTTTTGGGTTTGTAAGCTTAAAGTATCTTTGTCGAGTTAATAAATACTTTTGTCGTAACGCTGACACATTTATTTTGTCGACATGCAGCTACTTTGCACCCGAATACTTCATGCATGGCATAGTCGACGAGAAAACTGATGTCTATGCATTTGGAGTTCTGCTTTTGGAGCTCATAACAGGAAGGAAAGCTATAGATGATCAACAGCAAAGCATTGTGATATGGGTACATTTCTTCACGAAGAATATGATCAACTGTTCCATAATCATAAAGGCCCCTTACTTACCCTTTTTAAGTTTTGTAGGCAAAGCCTCTTCTTGATGAGAATGATATTAAAGAGCTCTTAGATCCTTCCCTCGGTGACGATTATGATGCAGAGGAGGTTGATCGCATGGTTCTGACTGCCTCTTTGTGCATTGAGCAGTCTCCTATTCTTCGTCCTCAAATGAGTCAGGTGAGGATTACTTTTAGAAGTGCTTATATTTGTTAATGCACACCGGAAAGAAATTAGCGAAAAGAAAGTAATATTAGGAAACAGAAAAATGCTAATTATGATATGATATCCTGCTTTGCTCTTCGGAAAGGCCCGACATTACGTTTCATTAGGAAAGAGGTAGTACTTCTCGTAAAGTTATATCATTGATTCATCATAGAAAGCTACTCTGGTGCTTCACTTATTTCAACATGATATCGTTTGGTTTTACGATGCCAAAATATGTTGTAGTTGCATGTTTGTCCAAGTTCAATTGTAGAATTCGCTCGATGATTGCTTGTGGCATCCATTTCTTTTGCTGTTCTTTGTAGTTTCTGTGAATGAATTATTTTCTCCGCGACATCCCTGCCGAAACCGTAGAAATATAGCACCAAGAAGTTCTAAACCACAAGCAAACTATACATCTAAACATGCAAACATTTTAGAAATACTAGTACCGTGCATGAAGGGCAAAGTCACTTTCTCATGCAAATGACTTGGTTTTAGGCTCATGCTTTGTCTGCTTTTACTGTATCAGGGACGAATGAATATTTAACTTTTCTTTCATTGGTTTGCTTCTCGTAGAAGAAGATCGGATCTAAAACCAAAACGTCAGCAATCCTCATATTCTAGATGGCCTTCATATTTCTGCATGCTCACATTTCATGTAGTTCTCTGTGATGTTGAACCATTTTGTTTATGATGCAGGTGGTGATACTGCTGAGGGGCGATGAATATGCAGCAGAATGTTGTAAAGAATCCCAGAACCAATCCCACCATAGAACAAACTCGAACGAGCTCCGCAACACTCAACTGAACAATATCGATCAACTTCGGGAGATTGCTTTAGGCTCATAAAAAGCCTGTTATAACTTTGTTTCGGTATCTGATGGAACTAAAAAGGACAAATTGATGCTGTGTTTCATGGCATTTGGAAGCATTGGGTTCTTCCAAATTTCATGTGAAAAACAGTTTATCAAAAGAACCAAATTGTCTTACTTTGGTGTTTGTGTATAGATAAGGTTGAAACTATGTGTATAGGTTTTAAGGTTGTCTTGTCTTGACCAAGTTTACAAAGGGTGTTTTGAGTAAATCAAGCAAGGATTGTCCAGGAAGATACTTTTGATAATTTTTGGAAGGAAACACCGTGAAAGAAGTGGGGGAAAAGGAATTAAAAATCAATATATACAAATAGTCCCCGACGAGCCTCTTAATTATTAAAAATTATAAAATGATCATTCGATTATATGGTGTTGTTTTGTTAAATCATTTGACTATTAAAAGTTATAAAATTCATCTATTTTTCGTTAAAAAAATGAAATGATGGTCGTCTAAGTTGAACTTTAACATGTTGATTTAGATATAATAATCGTTTGAAATTTTAGGATCAGATTTTAACATGTATTAATAGATAGATTGTTTAATTCAGACTGTCATCAATTTTTTAACGAAAAATGATGAGTTTGAAATATATGAATAATCGGTTGACTATTTTATAACTTTAAATAGTCGAAAGACTTATCAATGCAATATTCTATGTTTGGAGGATTATTTTATAACATTTAATAGTCAGAAAACTCAACAAATCAATACTCTACGGTCGGAGACTATTTATGTACTTTACCCAAATTAATAAATAAAAATGAGGAAAGGACAAGTTGGAAAAAGAGACGTAAGATGAATGTGTGATGGAGGAAACAAATTTGACACGTTAAGTTTGCATAATCTCTTTCAGCTGGAAGTGCTTCGTTACGTTATTTTAATTTCATCTTTTAAATTAGGACTCGATTGTTAAATTTTTTAGCATTTCAAATTAATTTTTAAATTATAATCCTTGTTTGATATTAATCTTTAAACTTTTGAATGATTTAGGGGACTTTATTAGAATGTTTAAAAAATTGAAGATCAATTTAAAATCAGAGTTATAATTTAAAGATAAATTTAAAATGAGCAAAATTTTGTGATTAATTTAGAATAGCTTAGGTTAGAGGCAATCAAAACTTGATTAAGAAAAATGAATTTTTCAACCCGACTCAATTCTAAGAAACTCGATCTGAAATTAAAATAAAACAAAGGTCGAATTTTAAGTTCGGGTTGAATCCTTCAACTCTGCATGATATATGTATATTACATATGAAGAAATATAAAGAAATATATATGTATATCGTATATGATTATAGAAAACTATTTAAATTAGAATTAAATAGTATCATAACATTATAAATATTTACAATTAAACTTAAACATAAACTCGAACAAACTTGACTCTACTCGAATTTCATAAACTCAATTTGACTAAAAAAATTCAAATAAAATTAAGTTATAAAATAAGATTCATAAACTCGACTAACTCAAAGTTTTTTTGACCCAGCTCGACTCAATACTCGCTCGTTGTTTAAGAATAAAATTAAAATATTCAAAAATTTAAAGATAATTTAAAACGAGAGTCGAATTTGAGGATGTATGCTAAATCAATTATAAAATTTATTTTATGTCCTTTAAATTGTGTAATTTCAAAGTTTAGGGTTGACAAACTGTGCAAATCTATAATACGTTATACGCCCCCGGGTTTTGTGGCTCGCCATCTTCCCTTGAGATATTCTCCTCCCCTGTCGTAACGTAACCGGTCTCCCCCCTATACTTTTTGTTATTTTCCATCTTAACCCAATACTTTATTCTATCTGTCACTTCAGTCCTTTTCGTTGCTAATAATATTTTTTGCTATCACCAAACGTTGAAGATTAATCGTTAGTTTTGTATGATTAAATATGTTAATAGTAATAATTTCATCCATTAATAATTTCCCATGCTTCAAAATATGTTCAATGTACATATAAATTAAGCATTAATTAGATTCATATATGTTAAAACTTAATTAAGAATTTAAGATGTAAAAAATTAAAAGATTTCATTCTTTATTTTTTAAAATATTATTCTCAAACTCGTACATTTTTTCTAAAATAGTTTCCCACTTTTTCTTTTAAAATGTAGCCTTAGATATTGACATAGTGTCCTTATATTTTTCTATAATATTCTCCAATTTTTAATTTTTTTTTTATTTAGATATAAATAAATATATTCTCCGTTTTGATTTCTTTTCTTTTCGTCTATTTTTGAAAATTTATTTTTGTCTGTTTTTATGACACAATTTTCTTTATTGTTATGATAGTTTGGAGTTTCATATTGCATTCATCAAACTGCATCTCCTAATCAGGAAAAGTCGACGATATTTCATAGTTTCATCTCCTTTTATCGATGCATCAAAATCAATCACAGAGCAACCTATTATACTAGCTCTCTCAATCTACATGCCTATGTCAAATTTTGTATCTAGTTTTGAATAGAGACAAAAAGATTATTAATAGTTGTTAAATATATTTTTATAAGACGAAGCAAGTATTCAAGGGAAAGTTTTAATTTTATTTTATTCATGTCATTTGAGTTTTTTCACGGTAAAATTACCCGGATAATGAGGTGAGAAAATTATTTTTCCCACCTATTGCACCCCATAATTATTCACTAAGTAGGGTGTTTTGAACAGTAACCTTAAAATACGCCGAGAGTATAGTGTGTCTTCAACAAGACTCAGAGATCACAATGCGTCTTTAATTCTTTTGGGGAAGATGCATGGATAAGACAGATGTAGAACCATGTAAGGTATAAAAAAAAGACATATTATGATCCATGCATCTTTATCAGAAAAGTTGAAGACCTATTATATTATCGGCGTCTTCCAGATAATGCTGTAACAATCGTCCTACTTCATAGCAAATAATTCATGGAGCATTAAGTCCACAACATTATATGCGGAATTTTGTCGAGTTTTCACATTGAGTTATGTTATATTTATTGCACCTTCTTTTTTCTTATTTGATGAAAATAAATTTTTTATTTAAAAAATACTCATAAACCCTAAATCTATATCATAATATATAAAACTTAAGATATTAAAAAATAAGAAATTAAAAGTATTTTAACATTGAATATTTTTTTTTTAAATTAAATGATTTACCCAATTAATCAATCAATCAAACCCGCTATCCAACTTTTTGTCAGGTTTAAGATTGAATCCAAAAAAGGAAAAATATGAAAATTCCATTTCCCGTGAAAAATAAAATAAAATAAAATAAAATAATTTAATAATAATAAACCATTGGAAGTTCAAAAAACAACTGAAAGTAGCAGGTAAGCTGCGTCAACCAAATCCCATTTTGACAAAAAAAAGGACTCCATCGAACACTCCGAAAACTTAACAGGGACTGATCTGCAATTCTTCCATTGTTACGTGCACTACAATTTAACATTTAACGAAGAAAGCAAAGGGTCGTGTCGTCTCATCCTTCCCATCCCTTCCTCTCTGTTAAGAAAGGTCAAACCCAACCACCGCGCAAAAGAAAGAAAGAAAGAAAGGTTCCATTAACGGTGATCCTCTGACATTGAAGCGCTGCCGTTTTGTTATTTTTTTTACCTCTTATGCTATTGCCGATCGCTTCTTTCTGTCCCGGTAACGCCCCGGTGGCCGGAAAAGGAAATTGGGTTCTTTTTTTACTATGAAGAGAAACGCCAACATCGGAAACAATAAAGGCTCAAATATTAATAATGATAATCGCTTTTTCCAAATTCTTTGAAATTCATTTCTTCCTGCCTGAAAACAGCCTCTTCCGGTGTCCGGTCTGCTAGTGCTTCCGTCGCCGCTTCTATTGCTGGAGACTCTCATGAACATCCAAAAGAACAGGTTTTTTTTTTAATTTTTTTGATTAATTTTAGTTTTGGAAAACTAAGCTTTTCCTATTTTACCGTTTGGTGGCTCAGAAGAAATAAAAAGAAACTAAATGTGGAGATTTTTTTATATTACCATTTTTTAAAAATTTTAGGGCTTAATTAAGTGAATGTTGTAATGTACAGCTATAAGTTAATCCATTTTTAAATTTTATTCTTTGAATTTTTTTCGTTAATATTTGATGAAAAAAATTAAATTTTGATTGTTGAAAATGATCTTTTATTAATAAGGTAAATTTCAGATGCAGAGGAATCTTTCTCTTTTTTCCCTAAAAAGTATACTGTCGCTTTAGTGGCCATTGAATGGACATTTGCATTATAATCATATTAATTAATTTGATGAAGGGAAAGACAGCAGATTCAGTGTTTTAATTTAGATTGATTTGTGTTTTTTGCTCTAATCAAACCAATAATTAGATGATATTTGTTAGATGCATTTTCAGCTATAGTTTTGTTAAAAAAATGATTATGTTATAGATCTTAAAATGGTGGCTCTAAAGAGTTTAGTTATTTGTATAAGAACAACAATATTGATTTTTGGACATAGCCAATGATTTGATTCTTTTTTACTCTTTCTATTACAGGCCGTTATGTTCTATTCATTCTAGTAATGCTCTGATTTGAGCTCCTTTAAGGTCAAAATTGCCAAAATGGAAACTGAACTGCTTCATGCCATTGTGTTGTATGCAAGTTGTTTATCAATCGCTCAGTTTTGATGACAATATCTCATTGTCACATTGCTTGACATGGTTTTTTGTTGTGCTCTTCTTTGACAGGTTGTGTAACTCGTATGTGCATTTTCCTCGAAACTTGTTACTCAATCTGCTATCTCACTGGGTTTCTTTTTTAAAACAGGTGCTATGGGCTTCCTTTGACAGACTAGAGCTTGGTCCCATATCTTTTAAAAGGGTTCTCTTACTTGGATACTCCAATGGCTTTCAAGTTCTTGACGTCGAAGATGCCTCCAATGTCAGTGAACTTGTTTCAAGGCGTGATGACCCAGTTACATTTTTACAAATGCAGACACTCCCTGAAATGTCTGAGGGACATGAAGGATTTAGAGCATCACATCCTTTACTTCTGGTTGTTGCCTGCGATGAGTCAAAGGTCTCAGGGTTGACGCTTACCGGAAGAGACGGATTGGCTAGAGATGGTTTTGAGGAGCCTAAAAATGCAAATGTGCTCTCTCCTACTACTGTTCGATTCTATTCGCTAAGGTCTCATAATTATGTTCATGTATTGAGATTCCGGTCAACTGTGTATATGGTTAGATGCAGTCCTCGTATAGTTGCTGTGGGGCTTGCAACACAAGTAAGAATCAGCCCTTTTTTTTCTGAAACTTAGTTTTGGAACTAGTATTTTTATATTTGTCATAAATAAGTCCTGCCAGATGGAGGGATTTTTATTCCTTGTTTTCATATGTTGGAATGACCAGTTCATTGAAAAACTTAAAATAATCAGAATGAATTGTTCTGAGAGTGGTTGCATTTTATAAATATGTTGATGATAATTACATTCGTTATATCATATTATTTGATCAATTATTTAGTTGGAGCCAAATGATTTAAACCATGCATTCTTTTATTGGTTGGCAGATATACTGCTTCGATGCTCTCACTCTTGAAAATAAATTTAGTGTCCTCACCTATCCTGTCCCTCAAGCAGGAGGCCAAGGGTTTTTGGGATTAATATTGGATATGGTCCCATTGCAGTGGGTCCCAGGTGGTTTGCTTATGCTTCAAACAATCTATTGCAGTCAAATACAAATCGCTTGAGTCCACAGAACCTGACTCCATCACCTGGTGTTAGCCCATCAACTTCTCCCAGTAGTGGGAGTCTTGTGGCTCGATATGCCATGGAATCTAGTAAGCAATTAGCTGCTGGGTTAATCAATCTGGGCGACATGGGCTACAAAACTTTGTCAAAATACTATCAAGATTTTATTCCTGACGGTTCTGGCTCTCCCATTTCTTCAAATTCAGGCCGGAAAGTTGGTCGGGGTGCATTACATTCTGCAGACACTGATATTGCTGGGACGGTTAGTACTTTATGTATTTGAGAAGCAAACTTTAGTCCTATGTTAGAATGCCAGATAGTAATTCACATGACCATTACACATTAATTCCACTTTGATGTGGAAGATTACTATTCATATCTTTTCCTATAATGCTTGAACTTTTATGTCAGATACATGTTTAAATTTCTTTGAGAGACATCCGATGAGCTAAGGCTGCTCATTAGTTCTTAGGAGCACTTGATATAGTCATGGAAATTTGACCAGTTAATTATCACCTATGAAAATTTTGAGTGTATATTTTAGGGTTTTTCTTTATATGTGGTCTATTTCAGGTAGTTGTCAAAGATTTTGTTTCCAGGGCAGTTGTATCACAGTTCAGGGCCCATACTAGTCCAATTTCCGCTCTATGCTTTGATCCAAGTGGGACTCTCCTAGTTACAGCATCAATACATGGGAACAATATAAATATTTTTCGGATCATGCCATCCTCAACAAAAAATGGATCTGGCACTCAAAGCTATGATTGGAGTTCTTCACATGTGCACCTTTATAAGCTCCATCGTGGCATGACATCAGCTGTATGTTACTGCATTCTCTACTTTTTCAAGAAAATATATATATCTATAATTTCTTTTTTGTTTTGATTTGTAGGTGATACAAGATATTTGCTTTAGTGCTTTCAGTCAGTGGATTGCCATTGTTTCATCTAGGGGTACTTGCCATGTTTTTGTTCTTTCACCATTTGGTGGTGAGACTGTACTCCAAATCAGGAATTCTCATGTTGATGGGCCTATCTTATCACCAGTTGTATCTTTCCCTTGGTGGTCCACTCCGTCTTTCTTTGTAAACTATCAAACATTTCCTTTGCCTGCACCACCAACTGTTACCCTCTCTGTAGTTAGCAGAATAAAAAATGTTAACTCTGGATGGCTTAATACGGTTACCAATGCTGCATCATCTGCTGCTGGAAAGACCTCCTTCCCTTCTGGTGCTTTATCTGCTGTTTTTCATAACTCTTTACCTAATGATTTGCAACGAGGTCAAGTGAAAGCTAATGTTTTGGAGCACCTATTAGTTTACACTCCGTCTGGCCATGTTGTCCAACATAAGCTACTGCCTTCATTTGGGGGAGAGGCAGGTGAAAATGCTTCGAGAATTGGATCAGGTTCTGCTCTCCAGATACAAGAAGAGGGCTTGTGGGTAAAAGTTGAAGCTATGCAAGCATGGGATGTATGCAGAAGAACAGATTGGCCAGAAAGGGAGGAATGCCTTTCTGGAATGACTCATGGGAGAAAAGAAGCATTAGAGATGTCTATGGATGGTTCTGATTCTGAAGATAATTATGCCGGGGAAAAGTACATGTCAAAGCCCCAAGACCAAGCACACTTGTATCTTTCCAATGCAGAAGTGCAAATTAGCTCTGGAAGGATACCAATCTGGCAGAATTCAAAGGTAGCTATTTATGATTACTTTGTAATATGCTATTGCTCGTTGCCAGTTTCACTTACGTCATTTGCATTTCCTTAGGTATCATTCTATACAATGAGTCCTGTGGGGTTCGATGAGACTAAGCTCACTGCTGGTCAGTCTGGTGGAGAAATTGAAATAGAACGGATGCCTGCTCATGTGGTTGAAATTCGACGGAGGGATTTATTGCCTATTTTTGAGCATTTTCACAGGATTCATCCTGATTGGAATGACAGGTATTTTCGGCATTCTTTGCATTGTGCTGAATATTTCAATATGGTGCCCACCAAATGGATTTCCTTGACACAACTCCCTTTTTCTTCCATGTGCAGGGGCTTTGCTGCAGCAAGTTATCCAATGTCTTCTCATGATGCTAAAGAAAGATTCTCTGAAGTCACTGTTATTTCTCACTCTAAGTTGATGTCACCTAGCCCGATCGAAAATTCAGATACTGGTATGACAATGTTTTTAATTGCAGATATCATTCAAAACACTTCTGGATTCATCATTCATGTAACTCAATTTGATGATTGGTGTTTTAACCAGGGTCATCAAGAAATTCTTATCCTCCTAGTCTTCAATCTGAGAACGGTAGTAGTGGGTTAAAAGGACAGAGTTCTATTTTGGTATCACATATGCTTAACCAGAGCACTCTTAACAAAGATGCTGGTTCAGTTTCTATTAATCAATCTAAAATGGGTGTTCGTCACATCGAGGATAAATCTACTAATAGTCCATCATTAACAAGTCTATCTGGTGGAAGAAACAGAGGTGGAAGCAGTGATATTCTGAACACAAGTTCTAACCGATCAGATTTGAGTATGAACATTTTAGACGAGGGGCCATTGAATGAATCACCAGATTTCGAGCACTTTTTTCAAGAAGAGTATTGTGAAGTATTGCCCTTAAGTGCATGTCGGGAGCCAACCGAGGTTGTTATTGACGTTGACAGCAACAGCAGCCCTTGTGAGAGAGGAAAACCAGAGGAAGAATGCGACAACGATGATATGCTTGGTGGCGTTTTTGCCTTCTCCGAGGAAGGTTCGTATCTAAATGTTATGTGATATAATTTCTTCCCTTTTAACAAACAAACCGTCTTTTATATGAATCTAAAACCTTATTGGAATCATCGTTCCGGTTTTGTGGCAGGTTGAGTTGTATCTCGTGTTCCTTTTTCTGATGTGCATGCTATATTTATATCGTCAACGTCGGTCTCTTTCATCGAAACGCCAGCCTAATCGGGCGGAGGCCGGCAAACTAATTGAAAGTGTGGTTTGGTGATTTAAGAAGCTACCGACTGATTGATTCAAGTAATATAAAGACTGGCTCATTGTGCCACTAGGCCAAATCTCTGGATTCCACCCTCTTAATGTGTACATGTTGTAAATTGAAAATCTCCTAAATGCAAATTTGTGAGTAAATGTTCTATCTGTGTTGTGTAAACATTATTCATTCTTCAAAGAAAAAGAAAATGTTTATATCTGTTATGCCCTTGCATACATTTTGAATGTATAGGTGAATTGAATCGTAAAATGTCACATGTCACGACTTGATTGATTGTTGAAATGTGATGGTGGCATCAACTTGAGATAAATTACTAACTCCGGGTACCAATTTGTATATTAAACCAAATATATAGATTTCCAAGAATAAGCCAACATTTTTTATAGCAGACAAACTTTTTTTAGTATTGTAGAGAAATAAGCTCATCCAAAACATTTTTATTTTCTAGGTTAAACTATGTATTTAGTCACTTAACTATTTTGCATTTTCGGTTTAGTCACCAAAATATTTTTTTCAATAACATACTTTAAGTTATGCTTTTATTCCGTTTTGGTCACTCGTCATTAAAAAATAAATAGAATTGTTAACGTGATAAAAAATTATTTTTTCAATGACACGGTATTACCTTATGGTGATTAATACGTAACCACATGAATAGTTTGACGACCAAAACGTAACCTCATGAATAGTTTGAAAACCAAAACGCAAACGCATGAATAGTTGGGTGACTAATACGTAGTTTACCCAATTTTCTTTGATGACCTTTATGTTCTTTTCAATTTATTTACGAAAACTTTGGATACCATATCTAAACAAACCATCCTGCATCTTTGTATTGTTGTGGCGTGCAGCAATGGAAGGTACATTTATGGCATGGAATTTGCCCCCACCCACCACCTAGAGAGATGCCCTTCCCATCAAAGGAACTTAGACAATGGAGTGGTCCCTTCCAACTCTATAACCAGTCACACTGAGATACTCTTTTCATCACCATTTTCTCATACAGCCAAAAATCTTCCACATCTATATATATATTCTTACAGCAAATTTTGGGGTCTGGCTACATGACAGTATTGACTGAAGTGGTTAGCAAAAACAAGATTTTGGAAAGGGCTTTCACTTAGGCCCCTTGCTACTATGGAGATTGGAGCCATTTTTGGTGTCCAGTCCATATCTGTTTTTGTCGTTTATTAAGGGCGAATTGTCTTATTCCAACACTACCATAGCCATGGAGGGTCCCCAGCAACATCTGGCCCTAAAACCATACCCAAAACGGCTAACTCTTCAACTTGGGATGGACAGAGGATAACAGGTGAAAACAGTTATTTATCCTAGACGAAGCCAAGTTATAGGTGAGAGGACAATGGCCTCCCAAAACTTTAATGGTCTAATTACCTCTAGGTCATTAGTAGTTTTAAAACTATTGCAATTAACCCATTGCTCCTAAATTTTGTTGCTATAATTATTTTTTAGGATATTATCGGTTTTAAAATTAATGACATTAAATCTTGACCCTAAATTTGTCTAGTTTAATTACTTTTTATTAGATGTTTGAATTTTAAAATTAGTGAAATTAAACTCTTAATTTCTTAATTTTTATAGTTTAATTACTTTTTATGACTTTTTGTTTTAAGGTTAAATAACTTGTCTCCCTCGTACTTTAATCCTGACTCTGTCCTTGATTTTCTTCTCTTAAAATTTTATAGATTCATTCCCTTGATTAATCTCTTTCGACAAGCAATGTTTTCATGGTTTTGTTGGTGGACAAATTATGCCATCAACTGTTGTCGAATCGGATAAAGTGTCGATATATGAATTTTCGTGATCAAACATGTTTAAACGTTCTATACCTTCCTTGAAATTAATTTACGGATAGTTTAAGAACAGCATCGAAAGATGAAACATTTCAACATCAAAAGGGAAAGTAATTGAGATGGCTTGTGGAAGATTAATTAATCTTGAGAAGTAAAAGCCAAAATAAAAGATTTTGGAGCATATTCTACGGCCAAAAAATTTACCCCATTCATCACTCTTAACCGATTAATATTTCTATGAAACATGTTACTTTTACAGACACGAACATAGCTTTCAACAACTATGGAATTATAAAATTCTTTAAAAAGATTGACAGCAAATTATAGCCGGCACAAATTAAACGATCTCGGTGAATTAAGGAATGATTGTTTTTTTTGTTTTTTGAAAAAAGTTTTGTATTCGATTTTATGCAAATACAAAACGGAATAACAACTTGGGCTTCGTTAAAAAAACCTCCCTAATCTTAGATGGAAGAAAAAACGTGCACCAAGAGTTGTCAAGAGTTTGCACCATCCACATATAGTTTACACAGCTACAATCAAATTAAACGATCTCGGTGAATTAAAGAATGATTGTTATTCTCAAATATCCCAGGTTCGAGCACCAATGGCTACAGCTGTAGAGTATTTAAACGTTCATTGTCAAATGGTTGAGAATCTTTAAAATAAATACTACCACTTGTAATCACCCTTGATTAATAAAATAATTATAGGCTTAATATGTGAACGGGTAAGAGGAAAAAATACCAGGGGTAAAAGAGTCTTTAGTAACTTAATTATTGTTTTTGTTCCGTTTTGATCACTCAACTATTTTTTTTTCAAAATCATATCTAACGTAATGTTTTAGTTTTATTTTGATCACCCATGATTAAAAAAATTAACGGTTGGATGATTAAAACGTAACAAAAATGATTGTTGAGGTACCAAACATGTAGTTTAACCAAAAACTAATAGTAGTAGTAGTAGTATGTAAGATAGAAATGTAAATTCGCGTTCAAAGGAAGAAAATGATTACATATATAATATGTTATTTTTTTATTCCAATAATGAACAACAATGAGAGATTGTGAGAGAAATACTTGTTTCTACTGCAGCTATAATTAAACCTTGGACTTTACTGCAGCTGACAGTGGAATCAATTATGTAGAACTGAGATGGGGCGTAATGGTAAAGCCATATCCTTTAGGCTGGTTACCACTTTGTATAGGAAAAAAAACAAAATAATAAACAATTGGTGAAAATGATGGGGGACAGAAACAACAATAATTACTCAAGAAAAAAAATGAGAAAATTTAAGGAATCACAGCCTAATTTCAGATTAAAAAACTGCCACTTTGGAACATAAATGATGAGGCTAAAATGTAGATAAGGTAAAGGAAAAATATGGCAATGTGAATCCATGGGATCAAGTTTTGGATCTTGTGATGCCTTAATATATATATATATATATATATATATATATATATATCATCCACACCTATGTTATCTATGGTGCTCGAACTCAGAATCTCAAAGAATAATTACAACTCTTTTACCATAGAAACCACTTAGTTTGTACAGAGTTTTCAACTTGCTCATAAATGATGAGGTTAAAATGCAGAAAAGGCAAAGGAGTCGTAACCAGAAAGAGGAGAGAGGGATATAAAAATTGCTAAAGTATATAAATGGTATTTCGATTGTATAATACTATTTTATTTAGTCTCTTGACAACTAGAGGTTATAAAATAGTCTCGATTATAAGGAACTGTTTTGTTGAGTCATTCGACTATTAAAAGTTATAAAATAATCATCCAAGTTATTCATGTGTTCTACACTCATCTTTTTCCGTTAAAAAATTGATGGTCGTCTAAGTTGGACGTTAACTTGTTGTCTAAGATATGATAAAGTTATATTTTAATGATGTTTACTGGCACTGTCATTGCTTTCAAGTATTGGCTCGACGATATAATATTTCAAGTATGAGATCGACGACATAATATGACGGAGAGTCGATCTACAAAACATAATTCAAATGATTCTAAGATAAATTTTTATCATATCTCAATCAACATGTTAACATCCAGCTCAAATGATTGTAAATTTTTTAATGGAAAATGATGAGTTTAGAACATATCAATAGTTAGGTGATCATTTTATAATTTTTAATAGTTGAGGAACTTAATAAAATAACAACCTATAGGTAAGGGACCATTTGTGTATTTTACCAAAAAATCAACAGAAAAAAGGGGAGAGAAAGAGAGAGAAGAAGGGAAGGTGTGTGACTTTACATATATTGTAGTTATTATTTATAGTCCACTTTGAAGGGCAAGATTCTTGGCTCAGCCATCACCTTTCCATTTCATTTAAAGGCAGCACATGACATAGTTCTCTATAAGATCTGCAAGTGAGGGGGAAATATACCTTAAAAGCAAGCTGCAATGGATTTGTTTCAGTTGCAAAGGCGGTTGGTTGACTATAGAGCCTCACTCTATCATGAGGTTAGTTTTGTTATATCAGCAACTCTCTGTCTTTGCTTTCTTTGGTTTTTGGATATTAGATTTTGAGTGATGAGTTCTTTCTTGTTCCTTGTGTAGGATTTTCTGGATGAACAATTCTCCCAACTTCAAGACCTTCAAGATGAGAATAACCCAGATTTTGTGGTTGAAGTGGTGACCCTTTTCTTTGAAGATTCTGAAAGGCTTCTCAATGAACTCGCTAAAGCTCTGTGAGGGTTTTACTTTACAATTTTTAATCAATTTCCTTTTGTTATCTTTGCATTTTCTCCATGTCTTAATGTGATCTTCATCTATAGAGAGCAGCCAATCATAGATTTCAAAAGGGTTGATGCTCATGTTCACCAGTTCAAAGGTAGTAGCTCCAGGTAAATTGTTTTTTTCTCAATCTTTTAACCTCAGTTACTAATTTTAGCTTCAGATGAGATCATTAGATTGTTTGGTAAACAAGTTTTTCAGTGGTTAAATCAGATTCAAACTGTAACATTTGTAATGTTGCAATCATAATTATCTGTACTTCAAAAATTGCATTATAGGGGTTCCACCACATGGAAGAATCTTTTTAATTATATAAATTTCACATGCAAATTGCTCTTCATGTATACTTTTTATCATGGTAAAATGTTCTCAAATTAACAGCATTGGTGCTCAGAGAGTTCAGAAAGCCTGCATTGCGTTCCGCAACTACTGCGAGGAGCAGAATGTCGAAGGGTGAGTTTATTTTATGCCTTAGATTGTCACATTTCATTACTGTTAATAGTTCATGAGAAGTTTCGAGTTTGATTGTCTTGTATAGGTGTCTTAAATGTCTGCAACAACTGAGGCATGAGTATTCTCTTGTGAAAACCAAGCTTGAATCTATGTTCCAGGTAATGTTAGTGGTTT